AATAAAATCATTATCTCTTTTTCAAAACCACATAAAAACCGTATTAAAACATCCATAGAGACGGAATAAAACGAAACATTGAAATCAAGATATAGCTCGCTGCATTGCACGAGTACGCTTCTAGTAATAATAATAATAATAGAAAAAATACTAAATATTATATTAATGAACAATAAATAAAAAATATTAGTAATTGTCAAGTTACGATTAATTTTGGGAAATTGATTAAAATAATCAATTTCATTATCAAATACATTATTAGTATTTTTTATGCAGATCTTTTACGTAAAGACTGATTTCCGGTGGTAAAAAATATCCTTAGGTATATTTTTTACACAAAATTTTGGATCTTTACGTAAAAATATCTATTTTTATTATATTTTTAATCTGAAAATCGAGTTAATCTAAATATGTAAGATATTGGCATAAACTCTACGTAAAATGTAAATTCAATTGAAAAGATGGGTAAAAAATGATGTTCGTTGAAGAATTGGCTATTCGGTTCAGTTTAACTTTAATTTTGAGTCATGTCATACAAGAGAGTCTCGAGATCCATAAAGTGAGTGCTATATGGTGTCACATGGGATGGAATGTCTTCCGTAATAACATAATGGAAAATTGACTTAAAGAGCTATTCAGGACATCAAAATTGGTCTTCTAGTCATTTCTTTTTCGTGTTTACCCAAATGTTACTTCGTAAATATTATGGACCTGAATAAAAGAAGCCATTGAAAATGTTGTTATATATGTTTTATGTTGATTTATTAATTAATACCTACTTTGATGATTCCAAAGGAAGCTTCAAGAGCTAATCGATAAGGGGTTGGTCAGCAAAGAAGAGGTAGCAGCTATAGAGAAGAAGTTTCGAAGACTTGCTAATGGCAGCGATAGGTTGACGTTACGTGAAGTTATGTTGACGAAACGATAGTCATCGCATACATGATGTGCGCAATGTACACCCTCCTTGGTCCTTACTTAAACATACACGTAACATTGTATATGGGGCGATCAATGGCGTAGCCGCATCTTGTAATGGGGTCTCTTGACCCGGTGAAGACCCAAAAATAAATAAGTCGTCTTTATAATTTTATTTTACTCAATTTATTTAACCTTAATGACCCGTTAAAGAACTATATAACTCCACATTCTTCTTTTTCTCTATTTGCCTATTATTATTTTTTTATTAACATGGATATTCAACCCGCTATGCACGCCAATTAATTTCAGGGCGACCACCACCGCATTTGAACAACCATGGTCACAAGAGGATTTTATTCCTCCTTGGATTTGAACCTGGGATCTCCTGATACTTTTGACCTTTTGAGCCAAGTTCAAACCAATTAGGCACCACGCTTGTGGTTTACTTGCCTATTATTCTTGTTACCATCTCTAGATAACTTTTTTAGGCTTGTGTTTAGATTATTTATTATTTAAATACTTATAAAATATTTGTCTTTTAATAAAGAAATACTTAGAATTAGATGTTCATTGATAAAGTTAAGGTTTATAAATACTTGTGTTAATCGTATTTATATGCTCATAAAGTTAGGGTTTGATGTTAATTGTAAATGTTAGGGTAATCGAAATATATGTTTTAGGGTCCATCTGATAGTTACTGAACGGTTTGATGTAGAATGATTAAGTGGTTAGAAATATTGAGACGTTATGTATGATATAGTGCATAATAAAATATGGTTGTTTGGTAACTGTTCCGAGTGAACAGTCTGAATGACAACAAATTACTATTTTAACCCTATGTATTAATGAACAAAGAGTGTGCTTGTGATTCCCATTATAATCTTTAGCCAACATTACATAAATCAGAGTTCAAGATCGATATACGTAATGTTAACATATAGGCAAAATTCCCCGACTGTGTTTAAGATATTGATCATGGGGCTGGTTTTGGATTCAATCTCTAATATACTATAATAAAACTGGGTTTGTAAGACACCGCTAATTTCTAAGCGTCTTAATAGACCACTTTTATATGACTTAATTCATTGGACTAAAAATTAAAGCGTTATATCTAAAGACGTTATAATAAGTTTATAGGATGTTTTTAGGCGTCTTAACAAGATTTTTAGAACATTTTTAATACAAAGCATCGTAGTAGCAATTTTATAGGACACTTTTGAAAAAATATCCTATAAACACATTTTTATAGGACATTTTTTCAAATAATGTCCTATAAAATTGTTAATGGAACACTTTGTATTAAAAGTGTCTTAAAAAACTTGTTAAGACGGCCAAAAGTATCCTGTAAACTTATTACAACTCATTTAGATATGACACTTCATTTTTTGGTCCTATAAATTAGTCCAATAAAGATGGTTTTATTACAACCCCTTTAGATAACACACTTTAGACACCATATATCTGGAAAGAAAACAAACAGTATCCTCGATGCTTTTTATTTCTCTGCTGCTTTAGCGACTTCTATCGGGTATGGAGACCTTACTCCTGATAGCAATCTTGTAACGCTACTTGTCTCCGTCTTTGGCCTCTTGGGTATGCTTCTTTTTGGGCTCATGGTGAATATGGTTATAGAGATTGTATTCAAGCCAAATGAATATGATGCAAACCAACAAACACGAGATGAATCTGACTTAGTTGATGACACTTGTATGACATCATTGATGTTGTTTGCGTTGCATATGGGCGGTGGGATGTTTCTATTGTATTTTCTTGAACGTATGGACTATATTAAGGCGTTCTTTTGTGTGACATCAACAATTACACGTATAGATAGTGATGGTTGCTTCATAACGAAAGGCGGATGCGTATTTTCGCTATTTTGGATGGTAAGTGGTACCATTTTTATAGGTCATTTGCTCTTATATTTCATGGAGCTAAACACTCAAGATAGGCAAATGTCGTTGGCGAAACTGTTTCTTGAAAGAAGGATGACTCGTGCAGACTTCAAGGCAGTTGATATCGTGTAAGTTCAATTAATTATTTAACTCTCAAACATTTATTAGGACTTTTACGGTAGTTTTTCAGGCACATCTCACTGTAAGAAAATCAGGTTTACTTGACAATTTTTAGGTGCCACGCGGTAGATTCTGTCTTATAGGACTTAAATTTATAGGATCAAACTATAAAGCGGTCTATATATATCTAAATGTGTTGTAATAAATTTATAAGATGTTTTTGGTGTCTAAACAAACTTATTGATAAATACTGATTTATTTATATTATTCTAATTTTTATTATGGATTAATTAATTTGGGAGGCCATGCATAAGTGTTCTCGCATCTTTGTATAATAGTGGTGTTTTTGTTTAAACCCTGTATATATAAGAGGAGTTTCAATTACATGTAATTCTTACAAACCCTACAAACCTAAGTATTTTCTGGATGATCCGTTGGTATTTTCTCGAGAAACGTCGAATTCCGATCCATTGGAGTTTTCAAGGTGATCTGTTGGTAATGACCGATGGATATTCCTAAATGATTTTTATAGGTAATTTAAGTCATTTGTTTTGTAGTGACCTATCCTTTTTTGGTGTGGACTCTGTAGTTGGCTTGACGATGATTTAAACTCTTTTTTATAATTCTTTTAGAGCATTAATGAAATTTATTTTATTTAAAAAATTGTAATAACTAATCAATTATCAACCAAAACAAAAACATATTTCATTTCTGGTTAAAATTCATATCCAATTATGGGGCCGTTTAATTACCAAACGCTTACCCGAGTAAGCGTTTATCAAGTAACATTACCTTTTGACAAAAAAATATGGTAAGTACCAAGAATCTTACCTTGTAAAAGCAAAGGCAAGTACTGAGAGTTTTACCCGGTAAGTAAGAGCGACGACTCTTACCACAGTTAATGCTTATTGGGTAAATTGTTGTATTTGATACCATTTTTGTGGATTAAAATCTTACCCGATTAGTAAAACATTTACTCAAATAAGCGTTTGGTAAACGACCCCTATATCAAGTTACGTGTACATGTAACAAACTGAACAAACCTAGTAAATTTCACGCAAAGGTATGATGTGAGTCATAAATGCACATTTACTTGTAAGAAAGTAGGAAGACCATCAATAGTAACATCCTTATATAATGCGTTAAGTGGCTGTTTTAGAGGACATTAACACATCATTTCACAACTATATTTACGACGCCATAATTTCACGTAACGTCAACCTATTCGTGCCACGAGGGCCGAGTTTTCTGAACTCTGCCCTGAAAGCTTCTATGTCTTCGTATTTGAGCACCCCCTCCTCTATTAGCTCTTGAATGAGTCTGTAGAATCATCAAAGTAGACGATAATTAACATATTGAATAAGGACACTAGTTTGAGAGCCAAAGTCACTATAATGACAGACGTCATGTGTGATATGTACACTACAAATAAATTGGATTTACAGGACACCATTAATTTTAAGCGTCCTAACTCCTAATAGGCTGGTTTACAAAACTTAATTTATATGACCAAAAAATAAAACGTCATATCTAAAGACGTTGTAGTAAGTGTATAGAACACTTTTGGACATCTTAACAAGTTTTTAGGACACTTTTAACACAATGTATCCCATTAGCTTTTTGTAGGACACTTTTGAGAAAGTGTTTTACAAACCTATTCTTTTTACAGGACACTTTTTTTATAAGACATTTTTTTTAAATAGTGTTCTATAAAATAATTAACATGATGCCTTTTTATTAAAATGTCCTAGAAAACTTCTTACGACCCCCAAAAACCTCCTATAAATTTATTACAACGCATTAAGTCTTATAAAATGGTCTATTAGAAAGCTTAAAATGGCGTTCTATAAACCCAATTTTGTAATGGTAGGATCTCCAGAAGACGCGAGATAACCCTCTTGTATGATCAATATTAGTGGCCCGTGATGCCTCAAAAACTACCGTTAGATGAAAGGCGAGTACTTTACGCGTATCACTCTTACTTGTACTTACATTGGAACATGATTGCTATAATCTGGTTTCTTATCGTCTGGCTTCTTATCGTCTGGCTTCTTATCGTCTGGCATCTTATCGTCTGGCTTCTTATCGTCTGGCTTCTTATCGTCTTTCTTGTCTGACTTCTTATCATCTTTCTTGTCGTCTCTCTCGCCCAACATCGCTGGCTTCGGTATTTTTATAGCCATCGCTTTTATCTTCTCTTTTGACCTTTGTTTTATTTCTGTGTATACCTTGGTAAAAGTAAAGAGCACAAAATTTTTATAAAGAGCACCAAATATCATCCAGAATATTGCGAAGCTTCGTCCAAGTTTTGTTGAGAAGCATTTTTCGGTACCTGCACTTGTGATTGTTATACTGATACAATACAAGGCATGAATAAAGTCCAATCCCTCGATCAAAATCAAAATAACGGTGTCGACAATCATAATCCCCAAAAGGGAGAGCCCTATTATTTTGCTGTGTTTTTTGATCAATTCCTTTGCAGTAGCAGCATTTTGATTCGGATCTTTACGCATTATATTTTGTCGTTGCTCTTCTAAAACTTCTAGAGCCATATGTAGCAATACCCCAAAAACATACATACCCCAGAGGGAGAAGATAGTAGCAAATATTAGTGCAAGAGGGTCGTCATCAGGAGAAAGGTCTCCATACCCAACAGAAGTCATTATAACAAAGGCGAAATAAGCAGTATCAAGAATGTCATTYGTTTTTGTCTCTCCAGAAATGTGGTATCTKGCGGCATAAAAGATTATTGTACTCGAACCCAAGTAGATAACAAATACGATGGCCATATTCCATAAATCATCTGAGTTGATCTTCACGTACGTTGATTGATATTTCTTCCATGAAGCTTGGTGTATACCATAGTCTACGAGTCATAATTAGAAACCTCTAAGTGTCATAATATTTATAGTAGTGTGTATGTATAGAGAGAGAGCGCGCTTAGTTCAAATGTTAACCCAAACTATTGTGTTAACTTTATAAACTTTTTCAACCAATCACAATCCATCTTAGTATTAGTATTAGGTTGTTCTCTATCTTAGAGACTTAGAATTTAATGATAAGGGTATATGAGTAATTTTATTTTTTATGCAACTCCCATCTCCAATTAATGATTTGGGAGTTACTTTAAAAGGAAAATTACCTAAATACCCTTTTCCCCATTGTTTACATATGTATTTTGAAATTGTAAATTTAAAAAATTAATTTTTTATCATGATTAATCACAACCGTTTATTGTAAAAATCAATGACCAAGATTGGTTAACAAAGTTAACACTATATATATATATATATATATATATATATATAAGGTTCATTTGAGATGTGGTAATATTTGAGAGGTAAAGAAGTGAAACATCGTATAATTTCTCATATGAGTATGCGGAAGATAGAGAACTAGTTTCATAACTTTTACAAATACGAGGCAAATAAGCTCATATGTGAATCAATGTGATACACATGAACTTTTTGTGATACGAAACAATGATATGTAAAACAGAAATTTCTGGAGTTTCTAACACGGCCGCACCTTATGATCCTGCATGACCGTGCATAGTGTTATTTTGCAAATAGGAACTTTTGGGTGTTTTGACATGGCCGCACCTTATAATTCGTCTTGGTCTAGTGTTATTCTGCAAACAGAAAGTTTTGGATCTTTTGACATGGCTGCACTTTATAATCTGTCCTGGCTGTGTGCGATGATAAGGATGATTTTGTTAGCTTTTAAGATTGGGATCAAATTGAAATTCCACTATGGATTAGTATAAATAAACCCCTTTAGTTCCATCATGATGGAGAACAAAATTGAAAGCTTAGAAACCCTAGTTTGAGTTGACAAAATTTTGAGAGAGATTATACACAAATTTAGTGTTTGGTTTGTCATTTCACTTCAGTGTTTAGGCGTTCTTCATCAATAAAAGTTCCTCCTCTTCACTGTGGACTACATCACCATACTAGTGGTGGAACCACGTAAATGTCTGTGTTTTTGTGTGTTCACAAAGTTTTTTGGTTTATTGATCGTTGTGCTTTCAATCCTACTTTGTTATCCACATTCGTTATTGGCTAGCATCACATATTTGATTGTCATTGAATAAATTTCATTATTTATTTTGTTTTTTGGGACCTTTGTGGTGTCGAAAACCCCAATAAATGGTATCAGAGCTTCCGTTTTTTATTATTGGCATTTTGGTAAAACATATTCAAGCACTACTTCCAACATCGTGATGATGAGCTCTAAAGAGGACGAAAACTCAGATAAGTCTTCATCAAACACTTCTTATACCTACATTAAAGGTTCGTATGCAGCCTCCAGATCGACTCTTCAGATTGAGAGGTGGAATGGGGACGACGACTTTGGAAAGTAGCAGTGGAAGATGAAGCCAGTACTTCGAAGAAACCGGGTGCATCGTGTTGTCTTTTGAACTAGACAAACTCCCCCTTGATATATCGGAAGAAGAATTGGAGAAGATGGAATAATGGGTTCTCACGACATCACAACTAGCAATGGAAGAGAAAGTGATTCCAGAGATAAGCTCGGAGACAACCGCATGAGGCATTTGGAACAAACTAGAAGAGCTCTATCTTACGAAGGTTCTCACAAATGGTCTCATCCTACTCAAAACTTTCTTCACTAACAAGATGGAGGATGGTACACCAATCAAGTCTCGTCTCAACGTTCTTGATGATTTGATTATGAAGATGAAATCAATATACTTGAAGATAAATGAAGAACAAATGGCAATGATCATTCTATGCTCCCTCCCTGAAAGGTATACTAGCTTTGCTAATTCATTAATATATGGTAGAGATACCATAACTATGGCAGATGTGAAAATGGCCTCTTAAATGAGGATCTAAGGGATCAAATGGCTTGAATGTCGACAAATATGATAGGAGCAGCAACCATGGGTTATTTATAGGGAGAGGACAATGAATTTCGAAAGAGAGATCAAAAGGTCGTTCAAAGTCACGCAAGCCAAAATTTGGAGGCAAGTCCAAGAAGAGTGGAAATTGCCATGATTGTCATCAATCCAGACATTTTGATTAAAGAATGTCCAAGTATTAAAGCCAAGACCGACAAGGAAGGTTCATCTTCATTTGTTGTCGTGAACGATTTTGATGATCCTCTAATCAGCGTCAACCGGAGGTGAGACTATCAAGGACCAATGGGTCTTGGATTCAGGGGATTCTTTCCACATGACTCCGCATAAGGAGCTCTTCTCGTCACTTGAAGAAAAAGAAGAAGCAACATCCTCATGGCAAACAATACGGTGTGTAAAAGCTTGGGCATTGGTACCATCAAGATGAAGATGTTTGATGGCATGATCCGAACTATTTCACATGTAATGTATGTTCCTCTATGACTAAATATCTCATTTTCCTTGGTCAAATGTACGAAATCAAATGTACCATCAAGATGAAGATGAAGATGTCTCATGGGACTCTTGCGATAATCAAATGTACGAAAGCTCCAAATAATCTCTATTTTCTAGACGGACAAACATCAGGTGCAAGTGCATGCGTAGGTGAATATAATGCAAAGAAGGTATATGCCTCCAAACTATGGCATCTAAGACTTGGCCACACTTCGTAGAAAAATTTAGAGATCCTGCATAAGCGGAGCCTTATCAAGAAAAAAGAAATCGAGAGCCTAAATTTCTGCAAGGAATGCATCCTTGTAAAGCAAACAAAGATCTCTTTTGGTGTTGGCACACACAATACAACGTGAATTCTTGATTAAGTACACATGGATGTTTGGGGGACCCGCTAGCATTAAATCCCATAGTGGAGGTCAATACTCCGTCTCTTTCATTGATGATTATTCTCATAAAGTTTGGATCTTTATCATGAAATAAAAATCAGACTTGTTTGAAAAATTCAAACAATGTTTAACTTTGGTCGAAACTTAATCCAGAAGAAAGTTGAAGGTGTTGAGATCAGATAACGGTGGAGAACTCAAAAGTTGTTAGTTCATCTCATTTTGCAAAGAAAAGGGGATCCATCGACACTTCACCACCCTACATGATCTACAATCGAATGGAGTGGCGGAACGGATGAATCAACCATGGCTAGAGAAAGCAAGATGTATGAGGTTAACCGCCAGAAGCTTTATCTTTGGTCGTGCACATCATTAACCACCTTTTATCATCGGCGATTAATAGTAAGATTCCCGAATAGGTAAAAAGGTAAGAATTCAGTTTGTTTCAGTTATATTTGTATCTTTGGTCACGTGTCGTATGTCCACTACAATACAAATTAAGTTAATTAAGCTGCTAACAAACAAACAAACGGAAGAGACATATATATATAACATCACGTGTCATGATTAACCTACCTGGCTCTTTAACGTCAACAAGCTTTCCTTCTAGATGTAACCTTTTTGCCCTCCTGCCCTTGTATTTGAGAAATCCGAGTTCCCTATGCATAAAATCACCAAATTAAATAGAAATACCACAGATTTAGATATGACTTATTATCACATTTTTATTTAGGGGTTATTTGTTTACTTCTTAATAGTTTCATTAAGAAACATTATCTGAACCATTAAGAGGTGAATATTGTTTGGTAAAAAAAAAGGTCGGACTCTTAATGGTTCTAAAATGTTCTGAATGATTTTACATCATCAACCTCCCTTAACCATTATGTGCCCTAATTTCATCGTAAACAATTACCAAACAAATTATATTTCATTTTGCACTATATCATGAGGGCCTCTTAATCATTTTATACCAAACCATTCAACAACTACCAAACAGCCCCTTAACAATAGATTTTTATCCCACAAAAGACCATCATGTAGGATCAGTATTAGTGTGACTGGTTAGACAAAACGTAGAGTGTTTCATGGTTGCTAATTGTACTTACGTTATAAAGCCATCATCATCAAGATCACTTGGGAGCATGTCTACAAGTTTGTCATCCTTTTTCCCGACTAACCATTTGCGTCGGTGATGATACGTCTCCGTAATGATATATATCATGCCACTTAAAACGAACACTCCGAATAATATCCAGAATACTGCAAAGAAGCGTCTACCTTTTGTCGAGAAGCATTTCTCGTCACTTAAG